AGCAGAATGGCCGCCTAATCTCGATAAACTAGTCTGTGATAGCAAATCATTTGCAGCATTAAAAGACTTTGCCTCAGATACGCTTAAATGAACAAGTCCCTTTTTATTTTGCTTACTAAGCTTAAATTTTATTGTTATTAAATCCATTAAATTTCGTGGCCCGATTGACCAAATAACATCATTCAATTAATTAATAGTTATGTAAAGTATTGGTTGACATAAAAAAGTCAGTGTGACGAGCGGGATTCGAACCCACGACCTTCGGCTAAATACGCCGCTGCTTTACCACTTGAACTATCGTGAACTATCTATCTAATCGGACACCAGTTCCCACCTCAACCCCACATTTCGAATTTTCCCTCCTCTTTGCCATTTTTCAAATGTCGTGTAATCTATTTGATTCTCGGCAACATATGAAATGGCCACGGAGAGAGTTCAATGCATTTGAAGTTAGCAAAGAAATGCAATCGCACGAGAATCTGGTCTTTAGTGATAACTGACATTTGAGAAATCAAGTACATGTGTTTAAAGTTCATTAGAAGGGGCAACTTCACTGTAATTGCATATCTGTCAGTATTTACAGAACTAAGAAAATCTTACTTAAACTTTAGAAAAAAACACATTGGAAAGTTGTAAATGTATAAACATTAAATTGTAACTATAAATTGAAAAAATAATATTGAATCGTTTCAAATAATTTCCGACTTCTATTTGAAAAATAGCGTTAGCTTCAGAATAATTACATTTAGCGCCATTTTAACAAATACAAAGGTACTGATAGCCACAAAGTATAATACAAAAAACACGTAGTATACATCAAACCAATAGTGCATTTCTGATATGCAGCAGTATATCTACGGGGTTCAATAGTTTCGATCGTTTGTACAGATAAGACATTACTGTTTTTAAATCCATTATGGTTGGTAGTCTATTGACCAAATTACTTCTGTTAGTAGAAATCATGAATGGAGGAGTGAGTGCGGTGTTTAATCCTCTTTAAAAATGTGTGGTGATTAGTGACCGTTAATCGATATTTATTTAGAAATGTGAGATGCGGTCTGGTGTGATGTAGGTTTCAGAAAAACATTTTCTTTATCGTGCCTACGTTTCGATCTTTATTGAGATCATCTTCAGGGCCTGGGATTTACACACATTGTTTACTTATAACAATTACATGTTGGATGTGAAAAAGTTAATTTATACAATGCAAAATATATTTTTTATATTCATTCAAAGTATTTCTACTCACTCAAAGTGTTTGTCTTCTGTGTAATTGTGCCATTCTTGCGTAAAACCTACATCACACCAGACCGCATCTCACGATTTCTGAATAATTATCGATTAACGGTCACTAATCACCACACATTGCCATTAGTTTTGAATGGATTTCATCTTCATGCTATAACCTCTTGCATAGTTGCTGAATATCTCTTTATTTGATCACCTACATCACACCAGACCGCATCTCACGATTTCTAAATAAACCTCTTTGAAAAGTTAGTGTCTCGAGCGGGGTTCGAATGGGAAGTTGGTGTAACAGTGAAACAACTACTGTCCTGGGGGATCGGGAGTACCACAGGGTAGTGTGCTCGGACCACTAAGTCCTCCTTTGCAACTCCTCTAAACATCAGACATTCCATCCACACCTTCTACTCTCCTTGCATCCTTCGCCGACGACACAGCCTTCCTTTAGTCCAATTCCGATCCTGAAAAAGCTTCGGAGGAGCTCCAATCACACGTACAACGGATTGCAGAATGGAGGAAAATATGGAGAATAAAAATGAATGAAAACAAGTTAAAGCAAACCTCCTCACACAACACATCTCAGCAAAATCTATATACCCAAACTGCGTACGATACCTTGGGCTCTATTTTGACTTACGACTTACTGACCTGGAAACAACACATCAAAATAAAAAGACAGAAACTAGAAAGACGATTCGGACTACTGTATAAACTACTCCGACGCAAATCTAATTTCTCGACAAAAAACAAACACTGTACAGGACATTACTGAAACCGGTTTGGACAAACGGACTAGAACTGTGAAGCACGGCTAAACCTACCAACAACCAACGAATTCAATCCATCTAATCCAAAGTCCTTAGAATTATAGTTAACGCTCGTTACTATGTCTCCTACGCTTCCACAATGACCTCAAAATACCCTTTGTAAATAAATTAATCCCGGCCAAATTCACCCAGTTCCACGACAAACTCTCCAATCACCCCAACCCACTAGCCTAATCCATGCCCAGCATAATCCATCCCTACAATCCTGTCCGCCGATTAAAGCCTCAGAACTTCTTCATCAAGGACTAACCTTACACAAAACTGGGAGACCAACAATGGTTGGCGACTCCCCTCAAGACTATACAGTGTAGTACAAGATGTATTAATACAGGTAGTAAAAAAAAAGTAAAGTATTATATATGTATACACCCTTAGTCTTATTTAGGAAACGGGCAACAAATAAACGCCTTTCCTCCAGGGTTACTGGGGAGAAAAAAATTGTTTTAACATTTTATAAATTTTAATTTATGCAAACTAAAAAAATGTGGTTTGCTATCAAGGTTTGATTATGTTATATTTTTATTTTCTGGTAATATCAATGAAAAATAATAAAGCAAAACCAAAAACTTTGCATAGTAACGACTTTTTTAAAAGTAGTATTTTACCGTCTAAGAACCATTTTTTAATAATAAAATGCACTAGATTTTTATATTGAAAAATATGCTAGGTTTAATCTTAATCTTTCTAAGTTTTTTGACCTTTTTAGAAATAATGTCATATTTCAAACCCCCCCCCCCCCAATAACAAATTATATTATAAAATTTAAATTTTATCGTATCTGTTGGCTGACGGAATTCCGATTTAAGCTACACAACCGTCACTACTTTCCGGCTCAAAAGTTCTAATCCTTATCCTTGGACGTAGATAAACAATCATCCAGATCGCAAGGAGTGCTCGATTTCTAAGATGGGAGTGGTGCGATAATGTCGCAACAGTCCAACACCCACAGAAGGGGGTCACACGTCAAGTAAAGCCGGACGACCCGGTTCGAACTTAACCAAAACCCTGGATGACTTTTATATTCCAGGGTGGAAGAAAAAAAAACATGTAAAAATGCTCGAAGAAGTTTCGCTGTTGAGGGAAGAGAAAAATCTGAAACAATGTTCAACAGCTTTATGATATAAAAATCAAGTGAATCTCAAAGAAAATACGCTAAAAATGTATGCAATTTGTTATGTTAAAAATGATTTTTCTTTTATATTTCGGCTTAATGTCATCTTCAGCGAGAAAATTCCTTTTAGAATAGCTGTACTCAACAAATGAACTTTAATGAAGATGGCATAAGCCGAAATGTAAAAAAAAAATGTGTCGATCATTTTCAACATGAGTTCATCTACTCGCACACACCAACTTGAACATATTACATGTTTCAATCTAACTGCCAATCTTCCATTTCAGACCACTTGAAAAAAACACCTTCGGGCCAAAGTCCTTCATGATTGTTTGAAACACACTGACATTTTTGTCGAATGTGTCTAACATTATAGATTTCGATTAATAGATTTTGTTCCGGTCCGATGGATTTAACGTGTTGCCTAATTGATCTTGCCATGTTCTGCTCCATTAACGCTTCGGTCGGATGAAAACTATCCTTCAGGCCCTACACGACTAAAACGTATAAATTTCTCTGGTTCCTTCTGACTCTGTTTCCCCAGAAGAAAATATCAAATATTACGTAAGTTCTATTAAACCAAAAAGCCAACGTCTGAAGGACAAAAACCAACAAGAAGGCCTGGCTAAAACCTAACCATGTATCTCTCAAACTTATATCATAATTTACATCACTTTACATGAAATAACCGACGTTAAGTCAAAAAATGCAATTTAAGTCCAATACAATTCAGCTGAGACGGTTAGATTTTCACCAGTTGGATTGGATCTGTGTAGGCTTAAATCCGCACATGTAAGTTCATATAGAAATACGTGCCGAGTTGGGCCTCTTGGCTTCTCATAGCCCACCGGCAATTCTAGCTTTTGCTATTTACAGTAAATTGCAGGCAGATTCGAGAATCACCAACCCCGAGTGTTGGCAGTCCGGAGGCAGAACTCAGGGGTTGGGCACCGGGGGAGATGCTCTAAACAGCTAGGTCAATTCTGCTCCAACTCATGCAGTTCCAAACCCAATCGTACTCACGTACATTCTTAAATACATTTCCTATTTACATACAATACATTCAATTAGGGTGATGGAGTACTCGATATTCCTCCATCACCCTTTACACACATTATTTAACTAGTCTAATTGAAGGTGGTACTTGATATTCCGCCATCGACCCTCTCACATCACACATTCACGCCAATAAATACAATCACTGTCAACACCTCCTTTACGTATACTTCACTGGTTGGTGTTTTAGTTGAACACGGTGGACAGGGTTGAACGAGTTTGCAACAGCAGAGATCATATCAACCCCTGGTTTTTGTTACAAGATGATTATTTTCAATCTCTTGACCTACCATTTTCTCTTTTTTGTCCAAAGGACGAAAAAATTTGCTTATAGGCTTTGCCTCTACTCCTTTTGCCGAATCCTCTTTTCGGTGTATTCATATCTGGGCTAGTTCATGGCTCACCCTAAAAATGTTAACTAGGGTTGTTCCATGTGGAAAATCTTACCCTCTGGCTATTTATAAGGGTTAAAAGTGCTAGCTAATTGCCTATTAGCTAGGCAGGATATGTTGGGAGACTGAGAGACTTCTTGAAAAAAAAAAGAAAAAAAAAATTGCGTTCCAATAATTCAGGTCCACTGAGATGTCGAACCGGGTCGTAATACTTATTCTTTCCTTAGAAACTACATAAAATAGAACTTTATTGATAATTATTTTATTGTATACTGGTAGAAAAATAGTTGTTGCTAACGAAAATAAGACCGAGTGTTTTGTGTGATAAGGTACTCAGCACAGTTTTGTGGATAAGGGTAGTCGAGACGTCCTTGCGAAGTGAAAGGACTCCCCTCTTCAAAGTATATAAAGAGATTTTAGGTCCAAGTAAGGCATACAGTCATCTGTAACTCACCAACCTACAACCATGTACAAGGTAGGACTTAATGTTTATGAAGATACAAAAACGAATTCGTAAAACTAAAATTATTTTTCATGTGAATACTTCATTTTCGCCGCCGCCTTTTATAGTATCTCATGAATTTTGTAGTTCATTAAATTTTATAACTTTTTGTTTGTTGAATGTAGTTCTTTGTCCTCGCCGCCGCCTTGGCTTGCGCCAACGCTGGATACCTCGGAGCCCCCGCCGCCGTCGGATACGCCGCCGCCCCTGTCGGATACGCCGCCGCCCCCGTCGCCACTTACGCTCATGCCGCCCCCGTCGCCTACGCCCCGGCCGCCGTCACCTCCCAGTCCTCCAACACCCTGAGGTCCTTCGGAAACTTGGGACAGGTCTCCACCTTCCACAAGACCGTCGACACCCCTTACTCCAGCGTTTCCAAATCTGACGTCCGTGTCTCCAACCCCGGATACGCCACCTACGCCGCCGCCCCGGTCGCTTACGCCGCCCCCGCCGTAGCCACCTACGCTCACGCCGCCCCCGTCGTCACCAAGGCCTACGCCGCCCCTGCCGTCGCCACCTACGCCCACGCCGCTCCCGTCGTCACCAAGGCCTACGCCGCCCCTGCCGTCGCCACCTACGCCCACGCCGCCCCCGTCGTAGCCAAATCCTACGCCGCCCCCGTCGCCCACGCCGGTCTCCTCGGAGTCGCTTACTCCGCCGCCCCCACCGTCTCTCACCTCGCCTTCGACGGATTCGGAGCTCACTACGGATGGTAAATAACTGACTGTTCAATCTGGCTGTAAATATTTATTTATTCCTTTTATTTATTGACCAATTCGTTGGTTGTAGTAAATAAATTTCCTATCACAAATAATGTCTTTTTACTTATTATTTTCCACTACCATTAATCTTTAAAAATATGTGTCTAAATAATAACTTAATAACCGACCAGTGTCGAAAAGAGATTTATCGACCAACGTAGATATGACGATGTTTCAGGATCAGGGATGTGGTTCAAAATGAATAATGTTGTATCTTGCCAAGCTTTCGACTTTTACTAAACCTTCTTAAGGGGGTCTACAATTGAATAAATGTAAATTTTACATTCAGATCTCTAAATATATATATATATATACACACACACACACAATTTTGTATTCTTTCTTTTTGGACTTACAAATACTCAGTCAGAAGTGTAAACAAAGGAGGCACGTTGATGTACTTCAGTCATATTCTTATTCAATTGTACTAAATTTTCAAAGCATTTCAAAGCATTGGTGTAATCCAATTTATAGTTGGATTAATATTGTAGGAGATACGTGGAACTTTATGAATGAAAATTGTGAAATGGTGAAGTAAACAGCAAAGAGAAATATTTTTAATACAATTGAAAATTAGACTTCATAATGGAGACTTTTAGACCAATTTGACATGTAGGATAACTTCCTGAAGTATTGACCGTTCATAGGACCTATACAAGCCTAAAACATTAAAATTCAATATTTATTTAAAGCCAAAATGAGGTATTTTCAGTAATTGATCAGTAATCACTAGTAATAGTATTGGTCAGGTTGAATTAAGTTAGACTCATCCTATAAATAATCCAATTTAACTATTGATTTAATACATTAATTTACAGAATAAATACGATATATTCGCAGAAATTGAAAATTTCTAATTGATTATAATTACAATCAACAAAACGACGGATACAAAATTAATTGGTTAATTAATAAAATTAATAAATCTTGTGTGTCGTGTTGAGAGTGCCAGTGAGATGTTGATGTTTTATGTTTATATACGTTGGATTTTGAAGGGGTGGAGTAGGAAGTAGGGATGGAAAAACATTTTTATATGAGGAGTCGGCTTCTTTGAGGTGAAAGGAGTTGTGGTGTTTATAAATCCCTGGTCCTGAAGATGATCTCAATAAAGATCGAAACGTTGGCATGATAAAGATAATGTTTTTCTAAACCTACGTGACCGCATCTCACGATCTCCGAATAATAATTTTTAATTTTACGTTTATTACCAGTAATACGTTGTTATTTCGGCGAGATTTCCTAGTTCCAACGTTTCGATCTTTATTGAGATCATCTTCAGGCCCTGGGATTTATAAACATTGTTTAAATTTTACAAGTACATGTAGGATGTGAAAAAAAATTATACAATGCTAGAAATTTTAGATTAAAAAAATAAATAAAATGAATTTATACAATGCTAGAAATTTTAGAGTAAAAAAATAAATAAAATGAATTTATTCAATACTAGAAATTTTAGATTAAAAAAATAAATAAAATGAATTTATACAATGCTAGAAAATGTTCGATAAAAAAATTAATTTATACATACAATGCTAGAAAATGTTCGATAAAAAAATTAATTTATACGATGCTAGAAAATTTTAGATATAAACAATGAATTAATAAAATGCTAGAAAATTTTAGAAAATTCTAAAATTTTCTAGCATTGTATAATTTTTTTTAAATCTAAAATTTTCTAGCATTGTATAAATTAATTTTTTTATCAAACAATTTCTAGCCATGTAAAATTCATTTCATTTATTTATCTAAGCATTGTATAAATTCATTTTTTTAATCTAAATTTTTCTAGCATTGTATAGATTCATTTTTTTATCTAAAAATTTGTAGCATCGTATAAATTCATTTTTTTAATATAAATTTTCTAGCATTGTATAAATTCATTTTTCTTTAATCTAAAATTTTGTACCATTTTATTTATTTATTTTTAAATCTAAAATTTCTAGCATTGTATAAATTCAGTTTTTCACATTCTACATGTATTGGTAAAATGTAAACAATGTTTATAAATCCCAGGCCCTGAAGATGATCTCAATAAAGATCGAAACGTTGGCACGATAAAGAAAATGTTTTTCTAAACCTACGTTATCCGAGACCGCGTCTCACGATCCCCAAATCATCATCAACTAACGGTCACTAAACACCACACGTAGAATTTAAAATTGAAGTTAGAATAACAAAACCAAATATATTATTTTATTAGTAAATACCAAAAAGTTGCATGAACAATCAACGGAGTGTGAACAAGGAGTAAAGCAATTTTACTTTCTTCGAGATTAAGTTTCCTTCTAAAAAAAGAAAGAAATTACAAACGTTTTGATCGAGTTTACTAAAAGATAATTATTCGAAAACCCCACACCGAAAGAATGTACAATTCTTAGGTCTTAATTTCCCTAGAAAAAATCAAAGTGGTATCATCAGCATAACTAAAACCGATAAGCCAAGTTTTAACGAATTATTTACATAAATAAGAAACATAATTGGCCCTAATATTGTCCTTGTGGTACACCAGAAAAAATATTAGATAGAACTCTAACAGAAGAAGGAAATCTAGTATCCTGAGTTCTATTAAAAAGGTAAGAACTAAGAAATAGATTTTTACAATTATAAATACATCGTACATTCGTTTTACTGCCAGAAATATTATTATTAAAAAGTTAGCTGGGTTTCTGAAACAAATAAATCGTTCCCCAAAACAAGAAATCCAGATTCTGTATAACAGTACATACAAAATAAAAACTACATAAAAAAAAACTTTCTCAGACTGGGTCTTTATCGTTTAAGTAATACTCCTTCATAAGTTGTAATAATGCACAATTAAGCCCAACCCACGCGTTCCATTCAACTTTGACTTGCCTTACCTTAGGTGCGGCCAGGTTACAGGTGCCTTCGCAACCCATTCCTTCGTATACAGGCTAAGAAATTAAGAAAGTAAATAAACTATAACGAAACAGCATAAGTGAATGAAGAAATAATAATCAATAACCATTACAGACACACTTATAATATTTTACGTGAACACGAACAATCAGAACAAGTCCGAAGTAGATTTCTTTGCAAATAGATTAATCATTAATCTATGATGTCTATACCACCGTTTGAAATGAAAACACTGTAAAAATTATCAAGCTGTACATTTTTTTTCAAACAAGTTACATTTAAGTTCAATCATTTTCTTGCTACAGGTTTTCTGTTATCTTCGCCTGGTCGTGATATAAAGTAGAAAAGTCGAGTTTAAGCCGGTTCTCAAGGGCGGGACTTTGACCTCCCGTCGTAGCTTAGTTTAACCCGGAGTCCCGCAATCTCTCTAAACCGCAGACCTTTATGCAAATGACCCGAACCCAACGATTACCTGTTTAAAGGAAATCGTACGTTTCGACCTGCTAAGACATGTCATTTTGAGTTATCACCGGAGAACGAAATCCTGACCGGTTCTTCTGAATTGAAAGCCTGAGTCATCAGACGAAATATAGACTAATCGACAAAACCAATGTCAATTTGTACATACATTTTGTAAAAAAAAGTCTAGGCCTGAAGAACCGTCTATAGATCAGAACCTAAATAATTAGATTACTTGTTATTTCTGACTTACTTAATAAATTTCTTTTTACTTTTTTTAAAGTAATCAATATCACCGAACATACACAAAAATCTATTAGTACCCAGTTTTCGCTTCATACTCTACCCAAAAATCTGGAAGATTGAAACGAAAGTGGACACGAGGCCTTCTCATTGAGTGAAGGTTGAAGAAGGTGCCACTGGGTATTTACTTAATAAAATTTTGTAGTTGTAAATATCAAAATGTAATAAATTTAAAAAAAAGTAAATCAGGAAGCTTTTATAAGTCAAAGATTTTTAAGATTCTTTACATGTATAACCAATATTATAGCAGCATTTTCTTAAAACCCAAAGCAAATTTCTAGTCATGCAGCACTTAGTCAAAAAATGAAATAATTCTTTACGTCTATTACCCACAAATATATTCCAATAATTTATTTATTTATAGCTTATAAGGATAGGCTTCGGAGGTGGAATCACCGATTTTAATGGGACTTTGTCGGGCTTTAGGAACTGAGAAGAGTTTTTAAGTAATTTAAATATTATTTTAAAAACAAAATTTTCTCCCTTATTCGCCAGAGAACGGTAGTTCTGCAGGTTGTTTTATTTGGGGGAAGGGAGCATGATAGAAAAATCCAGGGCCGACAGTAAGAATCGAACCAACTACCGCGGGGTCACCGAGCCCCATTAAATGAGATTAGATAAATATAAAGTTACAAAATATAGTACAGTACAATAGGTCGGCAAAGACTATGGATTTGTTTTAAGCGCCATTTAAAGCCCCCAAATATGAATTTTTATTAAAAAATAAAAAAATAAAAAATAAATAAATAAAAAATTAAATTAAAAAACAGACATTTTTGAGCTAGATTCTTTTTCCCGATAATCATGTTTCAATTAAAAACTCATAAAAACCTCTGAATTTTTATCCCAAATGAAACGTTATTACAAGAGTTTTTTCGAGTGTCAATGGTGGATTCGAACCCGGGACCTTTACCTTACAATGATGAGCGCTTTGTAAAACGCCTACCGCTGCGGCCTTTTTGGAAAAACATTTTTTTAATCAAAATTTGTGCCCTCAATTTTTTTAATGATAAAAATAGTGAAACTTTGGAACGACTCCATTGAACCTCTTTACACTTTGCAAAGTTTATAAACCTATAACGTTCACGTTATGTAAAAAGATTTTTTCTGTAAATATGTGTGGGGATTAGTGACCGTTAGTCTATGATTATTCGGAAATCGTGAGATGCGGTCTGGTGTGACTTAGGTTTTAGAAAAACATTTTCTTTATCGTGCCAACGTTTCGATCTTTATTGAGATCATCTTCAGGGCCTGGGATTTATAAACATTGTTTAACTTTTACAATTACATGTAGGACGTGACAAAAAAAGGATTTA